CTTCACTTCACATCTTCATCCTTTCATCGTGCTCGTTAGCTCCGATTAGTGTCACACGCTTCCTCCTTGTCATGCTCCCCCAACACACACGCACAGACGCACGCACGCACGCGCACAGTGAGGCCACTTTGTGAGCTGTTTGCTGGGTCGGATGATGAATGTCTTGTGTCAGGTGTTGTGCTGGTGGTGTTCCAAGTGAAGCAGGCGAAAAGGCGCCACGTGAACGTGAGCGCGACATGAAGAGGAGCTCGCGTGGAGGTCAGAAGGAGAACAGAAGAGGCGCAAAGAGGAGAGCGCTCGGTGACCTTCGACACAAAGGAACGAGACAACTGTGAGAATGTTTTCATGATCAGCTCACGTAAAGTGGGGATAAAAATACATTTGACACGGCGGAGAGAGGCGCTAAATAAAAACCCTGCCAGTCAAAAAATCTGCAAGTATAGAAAAAACATGGTGAAAAAAAAAATCAAAGCCTTTCTCTCAACTGTCAACTGTCAATCAAATACCAGCACTGGCACTTGAACACAGAGATGTTACTTGATCGAGCATCTTGCCCACACAACATTTGATCAAGCAAAATTCGTCTCTGGTGGCAGGAATATACGCCAACAGATTGTCATGGGGCTTTTCATGGGGCTGCTACAACAAGGCGCTCTAAAGCAGTCACACCAGCCTGAAGTCCTGGTCCACATGCTGGCTCTCAAATCAGCAAACACCTCACGCTTGGGTCTTTCTCTGTGTTACATGCATGCACTCGCGCCCGGCAACGAGGCGCTCTAAAGCGGTCTCGCCGGCCTTCTATCCAAAGAGAAGATGCATTTTCAAGGCAGAAGCTAAGATAGATTCTTAACTGCATGTCACAATTAAGCTGCCGATGCCAAAAAAGGTGCTCAAGTTTTGGGATATCGGGTGACTCATACTGACTCAGGGGTTCGAGTGCCACACCTGAAAAACCAAGAAAACCCGAATCCACAATCGAGTACCACTGTTACATATTCGTCACGCTATGAAGACATTTTCTGTAGTTTCTTTCATTAGCGGAAATTACCGATGCATTCATCTTTGTCAGGTCCGGATGCAGGTTAGAACAAGAGCTCCAGTGCAGCAGACCAGAGGTCAAAGTGGCCGTGATCAGGAAGACCAGGATCCAGATTGAGGGTGGAACCGAGCGACCCGATGACAAATTCAGCAAGTTGACGAGCGCACCTGAGGAGCACGTCCCCATTCAGGCCACAGAGCCCTTGGCCGAGGTCTTTTTCTGTCTGGTGACCAGAGTGAGCCTTCTTCTGGATTTTCTCCTCACCTCTTCCCGCTCTGCTCCAGGTGGATCTTCGTATGAGGACGAAACCACCATCTCACGGAGTCCAGAGGAGAAGGAAGACCAAGATCCACCCCTCGAGAATTCGAGGAAGAGGTTCAATTCCAAGCCATTCATCCATCTTCAAACAGATCAATGCATGTCACCCACCAATCAAAACCATCTCTTCTTAGGTCAACTGCGCCTGTCCAAACAGATCAATGCATGTCACCCACCAATCAAAACCTTCTCCTCTTCTTAGGTCAACTGCGCCTGTCAATCACCGCGGAGGCGAGCCACCTCGTCATTTGCAGTAAGTGGACCGATCACAAGAGCGACGCAGACAGTGGTTCTTCCCGTGTGTGAATCCCTCTTCCTTTTTGGTGTCACCCGCAGTACACGAGGCCCGAGGCCTCATGGCCAAGACGTCGCGGTTATGCGATTCACAAGTTCGAGTGAGGATGACGTCGTCTTTGTGTAGATGATGCCGACTCTTCGGGATCTTTCTTGACCTGTGTGTGTGCTTGTGTGCGTGCATGGGCGTGCGTGTACCTTTGCTCAGTTGACATCTGACATGAACCGCAACATCGTAATGAAGACTCCAACAGTGAATAACAACAAGAACCCCGAGTACAACCACCATTTCCTGCTGTAAGTCACACATAGAGACAGAGGCGCACACACACACACACACACACACACACACACACACACACACACACACACACACACACACACACACACACACACACACACTAATACTACTATGACTACTACTGTACACATGCTAATCGTGTTAGCGTACACATGTGCTCACTGAGTGTGTGTGCGTGTGCATGTGTGTGTGTTTCAGGCCAATAAGTGAGAATGTCCATCAAAACAGGCTGACATTGTCAGTGCTCAGAAGACACACGGAGAGCTCAAAGAAAAAGTAGGTGAAGCTTTGGAAAGAGCTCAATTTCGACAAAAAAAAAATGGCAGTCATCAGCCGTCGTCAGCGGCTGTCAAATGACTCCCAATGTGCAATATGATGTTTGGCCTTCGGTTCGTAACCTACTTTGTTTAATGAGATACACTTCATTTTCTCTTCCGCGGCCATTACCGCTCCTCTTTGTTTGGATGCCATGCTCTAATAAAGGATGTAAAAATGTTCGCAATTCCAGTAAAACTCACTGCAACAAAGAGTCGCTTGCATGTCGCCGTTTGGGATCCAATGACAGAAAATAGCGGTGGGGATACATCTATTTCGTCGTATCGAGCGCGAATTACTTGAGTTAGTGCTACTCCGGGCTTCCGTATCGTCTCCCCCTCCCTCCTTGTGCTCTGCGACTTCAAGTAACTGCGCCACCTGGCGTTTAAATGCCTGTATTACAAGTCCAAATGAAATGAATGCAATAATTTACATCGAACCTTAATTGTGTACTGTACCAACCTTCGGCGGGCCGGATTAAAAAGACCAACGGGCCGGATCCGGCCCGCGGGCCGTAGTTTGCCCATGTCTGCGCTAGACCTTAGTCAAAAGTCAAAGGACGCTCACGTCTGCTACTGAATGTGCTGCGCAGCCAAAAGTTTATTCTCTTCGCAAAAAATGTCAGACAAGGGCCATTTTGCTACTTCCGACATGCAAATGACACCCAGACAACGGACCGATACAGTCCGGTGGTCAAAGGAGGACAGAAAGGAAGACAACGGTTTCTCGTGGAAATGCAGGCGTTCAGGTTCAACCGATATCAAATACGAAATGATTCATTACAGTTGAGTGAAAACGTATTCTTATTGTTTGTGTGTTTCTCGACTGCTGTGTGTGGTGTGCTCATGTTTGTGCTTTGTCAGGTGCTGTCAGCTGATTGGCTGCATGAGTTTCAGGATCGGTCCCCTCATTTCATCGCGGAAGGTGAGTTACAACTGCCAAAGGTTGATATCAACTATCTGTCATTTCTTTGGGAAATCACTGAATGTTAATTTGTTCCACGAACTGAATGTTCCGCATATTCATAAAATCCAGCATCTCACATGAATGGTGGCTTGGGGCCCATACGTGCCAGGCCACCAAAACTTACTTCCTGCTTTGTGCACGTTGACTTGCAGCTGGTCAATGGTTGGTTCTACCTACTGGGGGCGGAGTTTGGATGGAGGAAACACCTGAGGGTGACCACACAAACCATCAGAACCATGACGTCGCCCTCTCGGTGGCCAGGTGAGTACGACATCGTCCGCGCGCTTGCGGTTGATTGGACGAACAGCTGATCAGGTCGGATTCTTTCAGCCGTTAGGTGTTGGCATCACCTCAAAAAAGTTGGAGCTGGGCCCTTTAAGATTGTTGAGAAACATCCGGTAGCATCCAAAGCAGTGATGGAGACACCCACGCACGTTTACACAATGGCATCTTGAGTTACGAGTGCCTAAACTTACAAGTTTTTTTTCAGTTATGCGCTTGGTCGTTTTATTTATCTATTTATTTATTTGGCTTTGCGTTGCAAGCCAAAATGGGAAATATGAGCAAACTTCTGAGACGCTGCCACTCTAGTGAAAAAATCCTGGAGGAATGTAGGTATTGTGATGCCCTCGCATGTGGGCAAGGGGAGCCACCATCATGCCCATAATTGTTTCCAGACACCCACGTCCTCAGGAATAAGATAAATTGAGTTTTGAAGTTGGTCGCAGAACAAATCAAGGCACAGCTTTATATGGATACAAACATATGTCCTGTATAGACACACACACACACACACACACACACACACACACACACACACACACACACACGCACCACACAGATGTGTGTCATGTGATGTAAAGTGCAGTGATAGAAATAGATTTTAAGTGCTCACCGCTCCAAAGAGTCCCCACGGTCGCCATGGGGACCACAAGCTGCTCAGAACCATGTGACCCTCAGCACACCTTTGTCCTATTTAACACACACACACTCACACACACACACACACACACACACACACACACACACACGATCACACGCACACTCACAAGCACAGAGAGTCAAAGCGCCTCCCTCTCGTGACATCCCATCATGACAAGATGTGAAAGCAGTCGGTGTTGAGCATCTCGGGGCAAGCGAGAAGAAGAGGAAGGTTGCCTTTTGGAGAAGTGAAGTTTGGATCTTCTTGCTGGTGTCGCCACCACAAGACGCCGCTCTCACGCGGGGTGAGAGGGGTCACATTGTCAGCTGTCAATCAACAATTGTGTTGCATCATCCATTTTCATCAGGACAACTTTGGCGGCGGCGGCGGCGGCCATGTTCTGGAAGCATGCCAACTGGTCCTGGCGCAATGACCGCTCCGACTGTGATGATCATGAGAATCACGATAGCTACCATGATTGCGATGACGCTTATCTGCTCGCTGCAGAACTCTGCACCGGCGGCGCCTCCGACTCTGCTGCCACTCTTTCAGACCCAAAGCGCTTCACTGACCCGGCGCCCAGAACCACCCGACTGCCAGGACCGGCAGAATCCGTAACAGCCGGCCAAGACGCCAAACGGAACGTCGCCCCGGATGCCGACCGTGATGGCAAACGGGACGGCAACTGGGACACAAAACAGGGCACCGACCGGAGCGCCAACCGAGACGCCAACCGAGACGCCAACCTGGACGCCAGTACTCAACTGACGGTGAGTCTGAACTCTGCATTCTGACAACTCTCCGTCTTTTGGGACTGGCGCTGTTCTTGTAAAGGCGCTAGCGGATGCAATCAAAAGCCTTGTGGGAAATGTAGCAGGGTTAGCTAGCTTCGCGTGTTATTGTGGGAAAGTCCAGCTCCTAAAATTCAGGAAGCTTGAGCTTGTGGTTTTGTGTGTGTGTGTGTGTGTGTGTGTGTGTGTGTGTGTGTGTGTGTGTGTGTGTGTGTGTCTTATCAAAGGGACACATGCAGTGTTTGTATGTGACTGTGCGTTTCCTGCCATTATTCTCCTGTACACTCACAAGCACGTTCACACTTGAGCACACAGTCCCCCTTTCGTGTGAGAGTTGGACTGAGGTGCTGCTACTCGTTTTCGAACGGATTCTAGACAGTTGTGGCATCCGGACCAGGTTTAGATGTATAGACGTACTCCGCTGAAGGCGGTCTAGGGTTGGACTCGGTTGCTCGAGGTGAGGGCCGGTGCAGTTATCGCGTGGCGTCATGCACACCATTTCCCGCCTGTGCCGCTCGTGCATCGGACAGAACTTGCCTCAGGTCGGTACCGCCGGGCCTTCTGTGTCCATCTTTGATGGACTTCTTCAATCTTTCATGTCCGGCAATAGATGCACTTAGTGTGTGTAGGTGAGAGTGAGCGAGAGACAGGTTTATAAAAAATGTACACGCATAAAAAGTGTATGATTTTATTTTTTTCCATACGACTCCATGTGTGGGTATTCAATCACTGTTGTTGTGTGTGGAAAGGAAGTGCTCGTGCTTGGCAAAATGTTGATTCATATTACGTTAAATTTGCATTTTGTATATGTATAGTTCAAGTTTTGGAAACTGAGCAAAGATGGCGTTCATGTGGCGATGTTGTGTTGGTTGCCCGCCGGTTCCGTTGGCGCCTCCGGTTCCCTGCGGAGTTTTGTGTGCTTTTCTTTGACAAATGTTTGCAAGGACAAGGTTTGCTGGCTCAGGAGTCCATCTTCCTCCAGAAGATGAAATTCCCACACTCGGCTTGACTCGAAGTCAGCGGCGGGTGAAGGTCGTGCGAGTCCACAGTGAAGGTCGTCTCTGCGGAACAATGCAAACAGCGCAAAGAATCCGCTCGGAGAAAGGTCGCACGGTGGGACTTCCGCGGGAGTTTTAATTGCGTGTGTCAGGCTGACGACTTTGAGGATGCCGGCTTTACTCTGTCACGCGCTTGACGTCGTCATGGAAACAGAAGCGCCAATACTATCAATTGGCTGAAGACAGATGGCAGCCATCTTACTGACTTTTTTTTGTTGTTTTTTTGCAGAAAACACTGTTCTTTTGTGTGTGTTTTTTTTTTTTGGCTAGCATCCCTTTATGGAGTGACAACATGTACATTTCGCTGCAATTTTTTTTTCCTGATGGGCTTTGCTTTGCTTTCACTATTACGATTCCCAAGCACGGCTCTACAACTCCAAAAGTGATACAATTGCGAGGAGCCCTACTGTCATGAGATCAAAGCTACGATGACAATCCACATGATAATCATGACGATCAAGACGATGAAGGTCGTGATGGTGATCGCCACGACAATGACGACCATGACGATAACAATTGCGATCACAGTAATAACGATAACGACCGAGATGGCGACCATGTGTTCTGCATCCTTAGGTCAGCGTCATCCGAGGACAAGACGGCTTCGGATTCACCATCTGCTGCGACAGTCCCGTGCGAGTCCAGTCCGTTGACGCCGGTGAGACCTCCTCCCTTTGCCAACAAAACCCCCTACCTTCTACGACAAGTCCTCCATACTTTAACGACAAAACCTCCAACCTTTTCATCGTGACTCGGGAAGTAGCTTCATCGGAAGATAGAATAGAGATTTAAGATCGCTCTTACAGGAACAATCACTTCGGCATCTCACAATTTGCAGCTTTAGGGTATAAAATATGAGCATGCAATTATCAAAAAGACACATTTATTCAGAGGGGAAGGGGCTGAGGACACATCCCTGAGGTGTCCCTGTATTCAGGATGAGAGTGCAGGAGGTATTTTTTCCACTTCTACAAGTTTCTCTTGTTTGCTGTGCCCATCGTGGTTTCCCCGGCGATAGGCGGTCCCGCTCATCAGTCGGGCCTCCGCCAAGGCGATGCCGTTTTGCAACTCAACGGACTTCCTGTGGAGATCTGGAAGTGTGGAGAACTGGCTCACGCCATCAGGTGACGCCTCGCTTTCACACCTCAGCGGCCAACGTTGGCGTCACCTCGACGCAATAAGAAAGTGTGCATGCGCTTGCGCCTGTGTCAGGAGTTGTCCCAGTCATATCGTCCTGGTGGTGTGGAGAAGCTCACCTGAGGTCAGGACGTGCTGTGAGACTTTGCATCATCCACCAGGAGTTAGCAAGGTGAGTCTCATCATGAGGGTGTGGTCATTTTTGTGACGATAGCCGCTCGTGTTTTGGATTAAGCAATCAAGTCTTGACTAATTGTGATGAGATTTCAACGGTGCTCTTCACAGACCACCAAGCTGCTGCACCAGCCTGCCCACACTAAACATGGCCGCCGCAGACGCGATCGGGGTTCTGTGGTGTCCTCCAGTCTGGAGGTTCTGGGTTCTCTATGGAGGGATCGTAAGGAAGAAGAACAAGGAAAAGAAGGCGAAGAAGGAAGAGGAGGAGAAGAAGAACCACCTTGCACCTCCACCCTGAAAGGCACCTGTGTGACATCATCAAATGGTGACAATTACATCATCCTGTCCCCTGTGGCGCCACAAGAGCAGGTGAGTCTTAGGGGCGGTGCTACTCTGCTAAGCTACGCTGTGCTAGTTTGTCTTGTAGTCTTACAGTATGTTGTGGGATGCTAATATTTTGGTGGCCGGCACGGCTCAGACAATAGAACGCTGTCAAGTTTGTGCCATCAACCCTCGGCATTTGGAACCTGCATGCTTTCGATGTTTTCCATCAACTCACCTGATTCAAACGATCAGCTGATCAGAAAGCTCTGCACAAGAAGCCTGATGACGATGCTGATCATTTGAGTCGGGTGTGTTGGAGGAGGGAAACCTCTCAAACCCGCTGTTATGGAAAACAGTGACTTTCCTTGTACATATCTGTCTTCTCTTTAGATCGTCCATCCCATATTTGAGGACAGAAGCACGACCATTGGTATGTCTGCTGTCTCGTCCATCCAATTTGGGTTATACATACATCCATTTCCAATATATACGTCAATATATACATATATATTAGGGCGTCTGTACCAGACTCACCCCAGACGAGGCGTGAACCTCCTCGACGAGGGCCAAGTTGGGTCGCCGCAGCAAGCGCTCACCCACTGGCCAATGGGCTCGGCTCCTCTCCAGTTGTCCTGCGCCTTCTCCTCTACGCTGCGCAACTACGCCACCTACGGCAACTACGGCAGCTGCCAGAACTACCAGAACTGCACCATCATCCAATCGCATCGACCCTCCTGCGGCATCGGCGAAGCGCCCAAAACGCTCATCTTCCCCATCTTTGTCGAGGTCAGCGGAGATCCTTGACCTTTGAACCCTGTTGCGGTGTTGGTGGTGGTGTTGATGCGGTGCTGATGTTCCCTTGGGACAGCCTGTGGACTTGTGCAGCCCCGACAGAGCGCTACAGATGTCGGAAGAAATGCTTCTCCACCAGGCGCAGCAGCTCCCCCGCAAGGTGTCGACAACTTGTTCCATTTTTTTTCCCCCCTCACATCACCGAAACATGCTCGCACACTGCTGAGACTCTCTCCGCCACATTACTGAAATGCTCTCACACTTTAAAGTGAACAGTCTCATGTAAGAGTGTGAGAATTAAATCTTGCGATCACGGCGTCCCCCCGGAAGGTGACCGTGTTAATCTACGACGACGTCCTACTGGTCAGCAGAGAAGACCACGCCGGACGCTGTCACGTCCTCAAGAGTCCGCTCTACTTCAACACGCTGCAAATCCAAGAGGGTAGGCCGCCTGCTTCTTTATCCACTTGGAATGGGTCGCCTCCGTCACCACGACGACGACGACAATGTTGACGCTGACCACGACGATGAATATGACGGTGGCGGCGACGATGATGAAATCGATGATGTTGATGAAGATTTTGACGATGACAAAGATGACAAAGATGACGATGATGACGATGATGAAGATGTTGAACGTTATTTGCTCGGTTTTGTTTCAGTGGCGTCTGCGCCTCATCACATCTTCTTCCTGCAAAGTTCCATGAGCTGCTGGCAATGTTTGTTCAGTTTGGAGGCCTTCAGTCTGGAGCAGAAGGTTCGAGTCAGCCTCTGTCTCCACGACAACATCCAACGACAGCTGGTTGCCAAGGAGACTGGCCACTCCCAGCAGGTACTTCTACCAACTACGCCAAACTTTGTGATTTTTCTCGTCGTCTGTGCTGACACCATGTTATGCCCCACCTCCCGCCCACCCAGTTGTTAGCCTCCCCCTCTGAATTGGGGCTCTTCCTCTCTCGGCCGTCTTCCCCCTGTGAGCCCCTCTCACATCCCCCCTTTCCCTCCCCCCGTGACCCTCCCACCCAGCTCACAGCCCCCCCGTGTCTCGCCCTTGCCACGAGTGTGTGCGCCCCGACCCAGCTGCCCTCCCCTCCCCCGTCAGCCCAGCCAGCCCTCAGTCCCGTGTGGAAGGGGAGGGGGGAGGAAGAAGAGAAGGAGGAGAGAAGACGCCATCAAGAGGAGTTAAGCTCCACCTCCAAAGCGGAAGGTCAGCCTCAATCATGACGTCACTTATTGCGCGCTTTTTTTTGACGGATTGTTGATTAAAAAAAGTCGAAATGATACAAACGTACTTGCGTTTGTATTCAGGCCTCAGACGTTGCGCGTCCGAAGGGTCCTTGCGAGCACAACCGGAATCGACCCGCTCACTTTCCGACAGCACCATCCACCGCCTGACCTTTGACCTTCACGCCCGTCCCACCTCCACTCAGACCCTCAGGAAACACCTGACTTCAGAGGGGGTCACCCTAACGCAAACGCTCGCGTTGCTCCGTGGGGCCAAGGTACACACACACACACACACACACACACACACACACACACACACACACACACACACACACACAC